TTTAGGACTAACTAGCCTGAGGACTAACTAGTTAGCATAACTAGAACTAGTCCCAATCATATTCGCTGCTGCTGCTTCCGTTTTGACAGTTCTTCAAGACTCTCAGCCAGAGGACGCGGAGGAAGGCCTGGCAGCTATGTCCTAAGTCTTGAGCGGCGATAAAATGACCCCCTATTGAAAAACCTCACTAAGAAGGCCACATAGATTGCGTCCAAAGGCTATCTATGTCAGCACATTTGGTGACACCCCAATTTACTCCGTATTCTTCCATCTCATCCATGACCATCGCTTTCTGGTGTTCTCCCTCCCCCACCGTGGGACATGGATGGTTCCCTTGATGAACGAGGCTCCGGAGCAATAGTACTTTCGTTCAGGGGTGATGGCGAAGCGGTCATTCTCCCTCCGTTCATTTATTAACTGGTTGGTGAGTGACGTGGGGACAGCTAGAGAGTCAGGTCATGTGAGGATTCCGTGGTGGAATCTTCACTGCGTCTTCTATAATTTCCTACACCGACACAGCCTTTACACATCATTATAATGGTGGGTAAATAACTAACTGGTGAAGACCTTAAGACATAACTCACGAACAGGCAGTTGAACAAAGATCGAACCCGGCCATAAGCCTCAACGTTGAATAGCCATACCAACTAGTGAAGATACTGGAGTTGAAGCTGAAGATCAATTCGGCTGTTTGATAATTAACAGGTAGTTAGTTAACTGGCGTGGCCCCTTTTGGCTGCAGGCAGACTTGATGACTAGTTAATTACACCCCCAACTCAAAGGCATCGACCAGGTCTATTATACCCCAGGTGATTGAAAATGTGGTCAATCCTCATACCTCTTTCTTGACTTTAAGCATATGCGAGGAACAGTGAATACAAAACAGAATCTTGATACCCCGGAATTTACACCCCTTTCACCTCCAGCTCGACCACCTTCTTAGCAAAAGATATGAGTAGCGAGGATAAGTCACTACTCAGGGCCAGAATCATCAGGGTTGTCCCTTCGCATTCATCCTCCAACGGGAATCCTTCATCCAGTCAATGGTCAGCATCCTGGTCATCGCGCGGCGGTTTTTGGTGCAAGTCACCGTAATCTCAAACCCACCTCCATTCTGATTTAGCAGATTTGGGGGAATTAGCATCTGAAGCTCGCGCCCATGCCCCTGGATATAAGATATCTGTATGACTCGAGTTGGATCCCATCTTCTATCCAAGGAACTGATATACTTGCTGATATTAACCTGATTCCACCACAGCCTGGATCTACCGTACTTTTCGGGTACCCACGCCTTTTGAATAGCGGAGAGCTGCGCTGGATTTGCAAAGACAGCGCAATACCTGCCAACATGAAGAAGTTAATTCCACTTCGCTGCTGATACTGGCTCAGCAAACTTTTATGAATTGTACCGTCGTTTTCTTTTCAAACCAGCCAGATGTACGATTACCACGGAACGTCGAGTCTACGTTATCTACTCTTCTCAAACTCAATAGATTGTAATAAATTCTCCCACTAGATATCTGGCGTAGCAGTCACTATCCAATGCTGAATACCAACCAAATCATTGACTAGAAGCTGATCACTGTATGAACATAACTTAATTCCCGGAGTAACAGCCATATGCTGATGAATGGACTGGTTACTGGGTCACGTAGTGTCGTCCATCACGTGCAGCAAAGAACCGAGTTTTGTGAAATATGATGGGTGAGCACGATTTTTGAAGTTGTCAAATACGATAGCCAAACCAAGTACATATGCAATCACTATCTGGTGCTAAAGGGGTATAAATTCTTGGGGTTTGCCCAAACTAACAAGTAGCTGTTTTGTTTATAAGCACCCCCGAGCTTCTGACATTTGATAGCTATAACAAACATACCTTATCACACCGCCTATCGACGATTACTTCTAGAAGAAGTCAAAATGGGTGATACCGTACGAGCCTTTCTTTGTAAAAATTGGCGGCGGGACAGTTTCTCCAACAATTACATACTCTTCAAGCAGAATGGCACCGGCTCGGTGAGCATGTCCCCCTTTCTTTAGGATTAGCCCTAAAAGTTCATGACTGACCAAGTATCCTAAGCTATTATGTGCTAGTGATGACGCTAAGATATGGATCCATACGGGAATCAAGTGGGAGGCTACAGATCCTAGCGTATTGAAGCAGGTTGTTGGTGCAAAAACCTCTAGCGCAGACGCACAGCTTCTGTCCGAGTTTGAGTTAAAAATCACACTTACGAAACGCGGACCTAAAGAGGCACGAGAGATGCCGCATCCCCACCTCGGGGCAGTAAAGGATGGTAGGCTTCTGGAGGAAGCCTTTGAACCAAAGAAATACATGGTACGCCTGGAGAAGGGGAAATTCATACCCGCTCTGGATAAAGACCCTGATGGCCGAATGAAGTGGCGTGCTATGTCTCCCTATAACTACCGCTTGGTATTTGACAAGTCTCCGTACCCGGCAGGCGAGCATTGGAAGGATCCAGAAATATGTGATGATGCTAAGAGCGCTCATGAATGGAAGGAGTTCCATGCGGGAAGTACTAAATACAAATAATGGGGTATCACCGTGAATGTAATGCGAGGGTCATATTGCACCAGGGGCTGCATTCTGGCAACTCGTTACGAAAGGGCGTCTCGGATTGAGTACTCCGTACTGGGGATATTTTAGGTATCCGTCGTTCTTGGCTGAAATCGTCTCTCAAGTTGGTGGTTCACTCAGGAGTGAAAACAAGAGTGCCCAGAGAAGCAAACATGGCGTTGTCAATTAGATAGTGTCCCTTCCGGGGCCGTGAGTCTTTTCGGGTAGATGGAATGAGATTTATGATAGTCAAGAAAACACAAGACTGATAAGACTGCATATCAACACACTGTCCTCTAAGACCCCAGACCCAAGACGCCCAAGAGGAGTCCCAAGAAATTGCCTGCAAGGTATCCGGTGCGGTGTGAGCGTCGCCTTAATCCATTACAGCGTGCTCCGTAGGAAGTAGTGCATGTCTAAGTATCCCGTCAACGCCTCAGCAGCAAGCAAGACGCCGTTAGGAAGAAAAGAAAAAGACTTTTTGATAGACGCGGAGGCTGGTCGTCCGCTTTGACTTTGATTGATCATTAGTCAGCATGGAAAAGAAGCTATTTAAGGGGTGGTCACACGGGAGATCGTAAATAAACTGTCCAATCAGAAGCTCCCAAACCCTAAACCGACGCAGGTCGACGTGGCTCGGCATATAGTTTCGGCTTACATAACTCAAAATTGTCTTAAAGTTCACACTAGCAGTTGATTACGTCACCTTTGATCACTTCCGGATCGGGAAGCCTGGCCATTTTTGGGGCGTTTTCCTGATTTCTTCGTCGCCTTTTCGACTTCCCGCGAGTTCGAACATCTTCGTCCTCCAAAGCGATCTCTAGCTTCATCGTCTCTCTGCCTGTTTGTATATTCTGCTATGTCAAGCTGAATCGAGTTCTGGCTGCTGTTCATATACTTCCACCATATATATCTGCACATAGCTATTATTGTCTAGGATCAGAATAATCCTGGTCCGAGCTCGCCCGCGTGCTAATGAGGCCTCTGTTAAGCGGATTTCAAGCCATTATGGGATCTTCTTCCGACCAAGTGTCGTCTGCAGGCCGCATCTCGAAGCTGGTCGTCCTCTCCTATGTTCTGGACTGGATAATCATCTTGTTCGTCTCTCTCTCTCCTTTGTGCGCATGTTGCATGCAGCGGTTACTGTACCGGGCGCTAACTGATGGCTACAGGTTGATGGGTGCGCTGGGCCGCATATTTGCAATTGCACAACCAAACAGACACTCCTTCAGCCTTCGAGACCCCAACATATCGTATCCATTTGCAGTCAAGGAGACCGTCTCCGTTGAGGTGCTTGTCCTGGTCACGCTCCTCGCACCGCTCGTTCTGATTGCGCTTTTCAGCCTGCTCTTCATACCGGGTCGAACTGCTGCTGCAGGGGCACCGAGCTCCCTGGTATGGCGACGGAAACTGTGGGAGTGGAATGCGGGCTGGATGGGCTTTGGAATTGCATACGCTTGCACTTATGCTGCGACGGAAGGGATGAAAGTGCTCTTTGGAAAGCCCAGGCCAGACATGCTTAGCAGATGTGATCCGGACTTGTCTGATATCTCCAAACACGTTGTCAGCGGGTTGGGTCAGAGACTTGATGGCGCGCCAGAGGTGGTTACTTGGACAATATGCCGCAATACAGCGAGCATGCTGCTGCGTGACGGCTTCGTCAGTTTCCCCAGCGGCCATTCATCTAGTACGTTTCCTCCATTCATGAGTCTTACATCACGACTGTATTAACCGATATTCTAGTGTCTTTTGCTGGCCTCGTATACTTGACTCTTTGGATGTGCTCCAAGCTTTTCCTTGCGTTCCCCAACATATCTCCGAATCTCTTCACTCGAGACATCCGCGCTTCCTCCTTCCATCCACATCCTCCACACCAAGAAGGCGAAGACACCTGCGAAGCGCAGTCCTGCCCAGATGAAATACCACTACGTGAGCAGGGAGCTGCTCCGCCAACATACCTGATCCTCATAGCCGCCATTCCTATCTGTACAGCCATGTTCATCGCCAGCAGCAGATGGGTGGATAATAGGCACTTTGGATTTGATATCATATTTGGTGCCGTACTCGGTACGCTGTTTGCTTGGATCGGATTCAGCCTCTACCACCTTCCCCTCGCATCAGGTGCTGGTTGGGCATGGGGTCCAAGGAGTAGGCATTTCGCCTTTTTTGCGGGAGTCGGCTTCCCGACTTATGGATGTGCCATGGACAAGCATGAGCCTGCAAGAACATCTCTTCCGCAATGATACCCGCCCAATATCTAAATCACATTTCGCGCACATTTGCATATTAACGAATTATGCATGAATACCCTGATTAACGCTATAATATTTATTTACGTCTATAATACTAAAAAGAATATACAATTAAATAATATTACCTATCTCCATCCCCCTACTCTCCCTTCATCCCATCGCGCCCTCGCCTCTCTTCTAGCCTCCAACTTGGCTCCCTCAGATCGAATCCGTCTAATCCATTCTGCAACCTCTCTCTCCGCCGCCACACCTCCACCACGCTGCCCTTCTTCCAGAAAACTCTCCTCAACAGCCCTACAAACAGCCTCTTGCTCCGCCACAGCACCAACTAGACGCTGATATAACGCCTTCGGCGACCACGGATCCAACGCAGCGTCCATTTCCGTCTGCTTCTTACGCCATGATACTTCTAGCGACTGATGCTGTAGAAGAAGTGCCTCAGTTGACGCTCGCAGGGCTGATAGATGTGACTGTAGTCCGAGAAGATGTGTAGCTAGGGAGGTGTTGGTGGCTAATAGTTTTTCAATATTATTCGAAGCATGTATTGATGCCGGATGTGTGTCTGCTATTGCGGATATTAAATTCGAATTCGATAACATGGCATGTAGATCGGAAGTACTATCACATGGTTAATTCAAGCGGATTATCATCTATCGGGCTTGGAGTTGCGACATACGATTTATCCTGCAATATCTCTGGAATCCATCTGTCTTCTATCGTGGGCGGAGTAGGCTGTGTCGGCACTTGTTCAAATAAAGGCTGACTGGTTGGAATGGCTGATGAGCGGCCTGATGCCGGCCCCGACCCTGGGGCCGTGATGTCTGTTATGTCGGTGCCTGGATGTGTTTGCGAGTGTATCGGCTCCTTCGGCGGTGTTGAGGGCGGATGGCCATCGTTTAACTGTGGTTGTTTTGGTGGCGGTGGAGGAGGGGTCCTAGGACTTTGAAGGGGCGTTTGTGAAGCGCTGCCCGGAAACGACGACATGATGTTAGCCCTTTATTCTTCCGCTGTTGTACTTTAGGCCGGCTGAAGCTGTTGAATGTTGGTGTCGATGTCGGGGTTAAAATTGAAAGTTGGGATTGGATGAACCCTGTCGCGACGGGGCCCGGGCCAGATGATGTCACCTGATGGGGCTCTGCAAGGGCGCTTGTTTCAAGCGACGTCGAACTGTTACTCTCGTCTTTTTATTATCATTTAGACCTGGCGTCACAACCAACGACAACTCCACTTATAAACTTCTTATATTGATGACCTTTCGATCATTGAAGCGATGGTACTTGAGTAGAGGTAAAAAATTAATTTAGTATTAGTGCTAATGGGCTTCTAGAAACTTTGCGGCGGCGGCTGGTAAACGCAGAGCGTGTCCATTGCAGGTTCATTGACCCCCACTTCCAAGAAGTGGAAGGCCATCGATGAGTGCTCCGCTGAGCAGGCGTCCTTTGGATTGACGGGGAAGAAGAGGCTCCCGTCTCAAGTCGCTTTCGACGTCGCCATGTTGTTTCCTGACAGGGTTTTCCCCATTGTTCATCTCATGATGTCCTAATGGCTGGCCACCTCCACATTCATCGGCCTGCTCATTTTCAGGGCAAAGGTTTTCGACGCTGTTAATGGGATTATGAGAGATATCCAAGGCTTCATCTTGCGCCCTGGGTCCCTAAGTATAGAGGAAGTAAGAGTCAACAATAGGCTTTTACTTGAAAATGGAGCATATGAGTTGAGTTTTAAACTGCCATGGAAAAACCTACAATGTTCAGCATTCCAGGGGCGTTTTCATTTGGGAGGGCAACTGGGGCTGCCATGGCCAATGGCATGGCAGCGAAGATCCAATAGAGGAAGCGCATAGTTGGCAATTTTAGGCGTGCAGTTGGTTAACTGTAAGCAGGGCTGTGGGGGAGTTAGCTAGGCTGTATCAAGGTAATGACGAAAACAGAAGGGATCAGGACATAGAGGTGATATTTATCCATGGTTGCATTCTGACCCCTTACCGTTGTTTGACCTCGGCATCTCAAGATAATTGGACTTGATGGCAGTTGCACATTCAGCTTTCTGATTAGATGTTAGTTGGGTGGCCTCTAGACAGGTATTTTCCTCTCCCCTCCCGTGTACGACGCTATAACTAACCAGAAAGCCTCACTCTTTTCGTATATACAAAGTGAGGTGTCTGCCAGCTCCTTGTACAACAGTCTCACATTTCCTAGGGGTAACTAATTATCCAACCAATAGCTATACGGTTAACTATCTCCCTTACTTTTTCTGTGATATCTCATTTTGATTGTGCGATGCTTGGTTATCGAACCGCCCATGCAGTTTCACCAACATATTGTCCGACCCATGGGACTCCACTCTTGGTGCAGCAGAGTTAGGGGGGAAGCCCGTTGGGAATAGCAGACGCATCGCATTGAATTCCGGTTTGTTCTCAGGAACCAGTGAAGTTGATGATTATTATATTAACTGTGTACCAGGGAATAAGTATTAAACGCGTAATTACATGTGCCGAAAGGCGGGAATTCAACCAAGGCAAAGAAACGCCTAGTCGAGTGTGCTGCTGCCCAGACTGCTTTTCCCTATGGATACATACCAAATTCATAACGCACCCGTTGTGAAATGGACGGCACAAGCATATCAATTACTGGCTACCTCGCTCGATGTACTTCAATGCCCCTAATTATCCGCTGAATCACGACGACCGAACCCTTCGTCGTGAATATTCCCACCAGTTTGAAGCAAGGGGTCAGTTCCAGTGCTGGTTTGGCTGTTTTGCTGGTTGTTGAACGGGCCCTCATCCCCGTTACGCTTGACTTTCTCTACCTCACGACGACCGAAGCCCTTGTTATTAAGGTTGCCGTGGGTGTTGAGCAGTGGCTCGATTACGGTACTGCTCTGTCCGTTTTGCACGTTGTTGAAGGGGAACTCATCTTTGTTTCGCTTGGCCTCCTTGGGCTTTGTCTCCTTGGGCTCGGTTTCATTGGGCTCGGTTTCATCGATGGAGTCACGGCGGCCGAATCCGTGGTTGTTGGTATTCCCATCAGTGGTCATCATTGGATTGGTTATGACGGCGTGCTGACCATTTTGTTGGTTTTTGAATGGGCCCTCGTCGTCATTTCGCTTGACTTGCTTTGACGCAACTTCGTTAGCTGAGTCACGACGACCGAATCCGCGGTTAAGGTCGTTTCCATGGGTATTGAGGAGTGGGTCAAGGGTGACAGAGTGCTGGCCATTCTGCTTGTTGTTGAATGGGAACTCATCGTCATTTCGCTTGACTTGCTTTGACGCAACCTCGTCAGCTGAGTTGCGACGCCCGAACCCACGGTTAATGTCATTTCCATGGGTCTTGAGGAGTGGGTTAAGTATGACAGAGTGCTGGCCATTTTGCTGGTTGTTGAATGGGAACTCATCATCATTTCGCTTCTCACGGCCGAGGTTGTTAGCATCGAGGCCAGCGTTTCCTGCATGGACGCCTCGCACGTCACCACCAAAAGGGAAAAGGCCGCGTCTCTGTCCGAACTTCTTCTTTGCTGCCTTTTCATCACTGAACGATCCACGACGTGCTATGCCGGTGGAAGAACCGGTGACTTTCCGAGCGAGGCCATCGACGACCTCAAGAGGGTTGATGGGCTCCCTCTTTTGGACGGTTGGAGCGCCGCCTGCTGCCTTAGGAGGGGAAGATGTGAAGGGCTCGCCACTGTTCAACTTCCGTAGGAACTCGCTGATTGGGTCTGTTCCAGTACCAATAGTCAGGGGGTTCTTCAGTTGATTCGGGTTCTATGGCGCCTGTCAGTTCAAACTTTGAAGAGGGCAATTTCCTTCATTGAAAGAAATTAGATGATTCATCTGAGCAAAAAACAGACTTACAACTGCATTCTGGAGGTTCTGGGGGTTAAGAGGGGCTGCAAGGGCCCCTGGAAGGGTGGCCGCAGCCCAGTAGATGAAACGCATGGCAGATGAGATTTTCGTCCGGCTTGTCTGGCTCGACTGTCTGTCTAGATGACAGGAAGACAAGTCAGAATGAAGATGACGGTGACAATCAGAGGACCTGGGGCCTAGGGTATTCCGTGGCATTATTTATACAGTGCCTCATCGAGCACAAAAAGACGTCCCCAACCCGGTTTACTTTGTGATATTGCTTTCCCGCACAGCCGTGAGGCGGGGAATCCTCTGCAAGCTTGATCTCCATAGTAATAACAGGCAGATTGTCCGAATCGAGTCTGCTTGTTCTACCGTCGACCACCTGACGGTCACAGTCGATTGCCAGTAGTCACCAGGGAGTTCAGTGCTGTGCAACAAAGGAGTTTCGATATATTGGGGTATTGGTTGGACAACAGAGACGATCATCAGATAGTCGTAAGGAACACTTTGGCCTTGGGTTCATCGTACCTTGCAGCTATTTCAGGGGCAAGGTAGGACACGGGAGTGCTTGTCTCAGCTGAGACGCAGGTAGACTTTATCACTATGCGGCTGCCGATTGAATATAATATTAATTTAATCAAGTTTACCCGCCTTACCGTCAGTGCTGCCGCTGCCGCTGCTCGAGCCCAAGCCCAGGCCGTAAACTGGGCAGCAAGTTTGCCATCGAGCGCCACGAGCAGGGCCTTGCGGTCTGCAAAGCAAGCCACGAATGCTTTGCACACAGCGAAGTACGAGCTAGAAGGACGATCGATCGATCGCTCTGATTTTGAGGGAGATATCGTAACCAGTGTCCTCCGTATGGCCCTATCTAGATATTGTTTCTGGCAGAGGAAATGTTTAGTCGTTGGGGTGAAATGTTAGTTGGCTGCCTCGCTCTCCGTAACTAGTTATAAGTGCTAACTGGCAAGTTAATATGCAAACAACCCAGACGTCAACTTGCTGGTTAATAGGATAGGGTAACTAGTTATATGCGGAAATATGTAGGTCGGTGATCTCTTCCAGCTTTCAAGATTACGATCGGCTTTGATCAGAGGTACCTCCAAGAAGTATTGGAGCAGAAATACTCAAATAACCGGTAATTTGATATTCACATTGCTTTTTAGTTATAGGGTGAATATCCCTCGGTAAACGCATAGACTTTTCCTTGATAAGCTGTGCAATTAATTCAACAGCAGAGCCAGATATTAGGAAACTTTTACCGGTGGACAGACGGATCGTCCTATGAATCTCGACGCATACACACTCCTAGTATCTCGCCTGTGGAGAAGTGAGACTGAGCCAATTCCTCACTACAGGCGTTTTCAGGCTATAAAAGGTAATTAGTTAACTGCTCGAACATCAAAATACCATGTCCAGAGGCAAATGAATACATGCATTACTGTTGACCAAGAGTTGAGGTGGCAATGGCCAGAAGCAAGACACTGAGTATCAAGCCCTGAGCCCTGTGCAAGGATGAGAACAGAGAGAATGGCTATTTATGTATAACCAATCCGCACACCAGCGAGAGCTAGGAGCTGAAAATCAATCTTCTTCAGCTTGTAATTCGGGGCAAAGGAACAAGATTCAGACTTGAACCAGCATGAGTACAGTGTAGCGCGGAGAGACTGACGAAACCACTCTTGATGTTTACTTGGAAATATAGAGCAGAAATTCCCTAATAACAGCGTTTTTGACGGCTAATAAAAGTACTACTTTTAGCTATTTCTGGTGTAAAAAAGAGGTATGTACCGATACTTTGCGAACCCCTTGGTAGTTTGTGGTAACCAAGGGTCAAATTTTTCCTTCTTTTTTCAGTCGGGAAACGGCGGCGAAGCATCTTTTCCGAGCTAGCATGCGTTTCGCTATATAGAGATCATCTCGGATGTCATCCCACGTTAGAGCTAAGTCGACATTGTAAGCTTCATCGTCTGAGTCCACGCAGTCTGAGAATTTGGTATTGAGGCTGGGGTACGCTTCGTAGAGGGGTGCCCCTGACTGCTTGATTCCCTTTGCAGGCTTGGGATGTCCGAAAAATGTCTTATATAATTAGAATCAACATCCGTCAGTTGAATCTGCGTACAACAAAGTAGATGATTCATAGTTCTTACCACTCGCGGGGTCCTTGCAACTACTTCCCCAGTCACAGAGTCCTTCCCAAACACTTGGACTGCAGCAGTCAGTTCTCCTACCCATTGAATTCCGTATAGAACCACAGGGCTGAACAATTCTCGTCCGGCACAGTATTGATCAATAAGTAGCTCAGGTTTATCAGTGCTCGCTTGCATCGCAGCTTTGCATATCTCAATATTCTGTTCCTTCCTCAGTGGATTCTTATAACTTGGGCTTTCTTTGATGTCGACTAAAATTCCAACCTTTACGGAAGTTTTTTGCAGAAGATTTCTGATCGTCATCTCCAGGTCTAGGCTGGGTTGTGAAAACCCTACTTCCATTGCAAGAACTGGGATAACACCAATATTTGAGAGCCACACCATCTGTAGGTCAGGGTCAGGTAGGCCGTCATCAGTTTCCGTATCCTCCATAAAGGAGAATCGTTTTGGGTCCAGTGGCATGAGTTTTCGTAGCTGAGCTGAAACATTGCTGATAACACAGTTGTGGATGGAGACCTGTCGTAGCTGGATAGAAGTGGTGTGAAATGTTTTATCAAATTTCAGAATAGCTGATTGACTCCTCCTATATATTTCACAGTAAGCATCAGTATATAATGATAGTAGGAAAAGGAAGACAAACTTGTTTGTTGACTTTTCAAAAGCTTCAAATAGTCTGCTGTATTCTGCCCTGTTAGTCTTAATCGAGATCACTTCGCCAGAATAGTCAGCAGGAAATATTCCACGAAACAATTGGTCTCGCTGCTCCTGGCTCAGGAATTCATCGTCCGTCGACATATCCATCACTTTGGTATTACCAGGAGTGTAAAACCGGAGACAACGTGTTCCTGCAGTTACACTCAAACCATGGCTCACCCGCGAAGAAATGAGAGGCATATAAATACATGGAGGCCTTGCATGCAACAACAAAAACGACTTACTTGAGCTCAGCCTGCGAATTCGAGGAATAACAGAGCGTAGAAACATCGCTGCAAGGAGATTTGATCAGGAGAGATGACGATTATCAGAATAGAGAATATTGTGCCAGTCAGGATAGCAGACGGTTCAGGGAACGTTTGCGAAGAGCCAATAGTACAACCACAAAGCAAGAAGACGTTGACAAAAATATGGAAAATGAGACGATGGAAAGCTCAAGAAGGCTTCTTTATATTTTCAGCCAGCGAGTCACCTGGGCAACTACCAATATGAAGGACAGGACAGGAAGACAGAGCAAGAGGACAAAACAAAGAAACTGCGAGTAAACACAAACAGGACAAGCTTTTATACAAAGGAAATGATAAATTAGGTACCTAGGTAGAGATTGGTATATGTCCCTGATGTACGCAGATTTCCACTGGATTGCCGAACACCCACAAGACAAGCGAATACTAATACTACTAGCTTCCAGAACAAAGAGGTATAATAACAAATGGCCCCTTTTTTTAACACGAAGATACTGTTTATATTTATTTAGCTCAGATATAAACAGTTCTTTGTAGACTTGGTATAATGCTTGCGTGGTATTCAGGCAGGGCAACGTTCATCAAGTTGAAAAGGATTGAAGGGAGTCGTTTTTGCTACTTTATGTGTCGTCATTGGCTGTGGCAAAACACATAATCGTAGCTTCAAGAAGGCACAGTAAGAAGATGCCTTGGTGCCCAAATGGACAAATGAATTCGAGATAAACAGGTGTAAAGCTAATAGATGATGATGACTGGATAGAGTACAGAGCCGCTTCTCTGGAAATCCAGGTGGTTGGTGGCGTCCCAATCAGGACTAGCGCCATTCCTTTTCTCAGCCCTATATTTAATCTATGACGCTAGTCCTGATTGGGGCACTGTTGAAAAGGGTATCAGAGTATCAGATGTCAGAGACATTAGGTAGTTTAGGAAGAAGCCGGTTGACTAGATTATTATTATTATGATAGATGTCACTATTTAGATCAGAGTACTATACACAGGTCTATACAGTATGTTTGACACAAGCATGAGTTGTCCGTAGTTTGGCTATTTCATATGTGGGCCGTCATCCTCAAGAAAAATTAAAAAAAAAACTCCACGAAGCATAGTTAAATATAAGTATAACAAGCGTGAGTAGATAATAGGAGAGATATAAGAGCTTAGGAGGTATTTTACCTTAGTTCCAGCCAGGCCGCCGGTGGATAGATCTATAGGGGAAAATTGAGTTTTTTCGAAACGCTAAATATATTGTTCCAACACAAGCGGAGCTCTAGCTCGCTATATAATAGTATCTATACTATAAATATATTAAGAATATTTACTAGTTTAGCTTATTACTTTATTATATATATATTAATTAAGAAGAATATTTTAAATCTTGAAATATATTTTATTTTAAAAACTTATCTACTATATCTACTATTTATCTACTACTCTAATACTTACTATAAATTAGAACTAACTATTATATTACTCCGATACCTACTATAAATTAGAACTATTTACTATATTACTCTAAAATAGTATTATCTTTATTATATTAAGCTCTATCTATATTTTAGCTTCTAGGGCTTCTAATAGTTCTAATTTTAATTTAGTAATTATATTAGTATTTAGAAACTTATTAATTCTATTAAACTAGCTACTAGTTTAAGAGGTACTATCTACTTAAGTATATTTTAATACTAGAATATCTCTATAAAGGGACTCTACTAGTAAGAGCTATAAATATTTCGAATTATAAGATCTAATAGTAGCTATAATAGTAGCTTAAATAGTAACTTAAGTAGTAATTACTTAAGTAGTAATTACTTAAGTAGTAAACTTTTTACTTAGAGTAAAGCTATTATTATTAAAATAAGACCTCTTCTAAAAATTTTAGGTTAGTATAATATAAAATATTATTAGAGAAGATACTATTTTATATTTACTTTCTTACTATAAAGTATTATATCTAGAGTAGAAGTTTAGTTACTAAAAATCTAATTAAAAAAATACTTACTTCTAGATATATTAGATATTAAGAAGTTATATTAATACTATAGATCTAAAGTAGTTAGAGATAAATATAGAGCTAAAACTAGAGCTAAAGCTAGAGTAGATAGAGTATTAACTATAGCTCTATTAACTATAGCTAGAGCTATAGCTCTAGTACTAATAGTTAGATATAAGGATAGACAGTACTCAATCTATAGATAAATAGGTGGGTGTGGGTTTTACCTATAATAGGCAGCTGGTAAGGGTAGTAGGTAGATAGTAGGTAGATTTAAAAATTTAAGTAGGTAGATAAGCTACCTATAGAATCTATCTATAAGGTTTAATATTTCTATAGTTAAAATATAAATCTTATAAATATAAAAATTAGTAATATAGTATATTATTAAAAATTATTTAGAATATTATTTATTAATATATAAAGATTTAACTTAAAAAATATAAAATTTAATTTAATCTCTTAATTATAAAATTTTAAAAGTATATAGAATATAGTTATTATATATAATATATAAATTTATAATATTATAAATATAATATATAGAAAATATAAAAAATATAATTAAAATATATATAATAAAAAGAAATTAATAATAAAGCTAGTATTACTACTAAATATAGAAGTAAAGTATAATAAAAAAGAATATTAAAATTAGGTAAGTAAATACTAGATTAGTACCTATTTACTATAGTAATATACTTAAGTACTAGAAGGGGTTAGCTTATATTTATTTTCCTCTTCCTTATTAATAGATATAGTTAATTAATAATAGAGAAGTAGGTCCTTAGTATTACTAATATACTCCCTATTTAAGAACTCTATAATAGTAGATTCTATTACTTAATTAAGGTACTATATATAATAAAAGGATACTATAGAAGAAGAATCTTTAGTTTTAGAGAAATTATTAGTAATAAACCTATCTTTATTAAGGTAGTTACTAGTAAGCTCTACTATAATAGTCTAAATAGTTTAAAAATTAAGTCTAATATAGTAAAAGTAGTTTATATTATAAGTAATATTAAATAATTATTCTATATCTTATAGTAGAGGGCGAAACTACTAGAATATATAAACTATATAAAAAAAATTAAAAAGTATTTAGAGTTTACTTTCTAGTACTCGAGAATTAATATATTTTAAATAATTTCTAAATTTTATATATATTAGAATATATAAATTTTATATTTAGAAGAATTATAATATTTTATCTTTACTAAGATACTTTATAACTTTATTAAAAATAATAGCTTTTTAAGATTTATTTTATAGATCTTTCTATTTCTTTAATATAAAGCCCTTATTATATAAATACTTAAAGAGAGTTTAGTAATATATATATTTAAATATAATAATATCTAGATACTATATCTAATAATAAGAGAAGATATCTTTAAAGTATTATTAATACTCTTATACTTAGTTAATATCTACTTTAAATAATATATTCTCTAGATTTTTAGTTTTCTCTCTCTATAAGGCTTTATTAAAAGTCTAGAGCTTTAATTTTAAATTAAGAATAGTAGCTATTATATAGAAATATCCTTAAGCTTTATTTATCTAAGTATAGTATATTAATAACTTTTTATAAGTAGCTCTAATTCTAGTATATAATATTACCTTCTATAGAATATATTTAGTTTTAAGTTTCTTAATAGAGGTATTTAAATAATTATAAAGGTATTTATATATATTATAAATTAGGTTAATTAATAGATTAATAGCCTTTAAAATACTAAGTATTACTATATAAAATAGAATAAGAAACTTAAAAAAGTATTCTAGTTAGAATTATTCTTTAATCTAAATATATAGATAAAATAAATTATTATTTAATTAATATTAGATAAAAAATATAAATATATTATAAAACTTTATAGTATAAGTAAATATATAAAGTATTAAGTTCTAGTATATTTAGTAGTTATAATAAAAGAGAAGTAGCCCTCCCTTTTTACTAGTTTATAGCTCCTTAAAGAGATCTAATCTCTTTAAACTAGTAGTAATA